TATGTAAACAATTAGAACATTTACATAAACAAAATCAATCAGACACATTGCTAACAGTGTTTCGTGGACATGGGAATATGCCTATGGATCAATTTGAAAACATCAAAGAGAATATTGGTAATTTAATATCATTCAATGGATTTCTATCAACTACAAGTGATTACAATGTTGCAGTATTATTTTCAGGATCTGAGTCAACTGAAGATAAATCTGTCATATATGAAATTCAAACTAATTATAATTTGAAAAATGTTGTTTTTGCTGATATTACGCAACTTTCAGACATAGAGGATGAAAAAGAATTTTTATTTAGTCTTTGTTCTATATTCAGAATCGATGGTATTCTAAATGATGAAGAAAATCAAATATCAAAAATTATGATGAGTGCAGTAGATGAAGATGCAGTAAATATTTTAGAACAGATGAAGATTGAAATAATTCAAGAGGAAAAGAAACATTTCTTCGATAGTATAAATCAATACTGTCGAAAGCGATATATTATTAGAGCATTTGCTATCATGTTTTTTATCATGATTTTGACATTAGGAGTAATTTTTGGTATCAATATGAAATTAAAAGATAAAACCTCGAGTTTAGACAACTGTGTCGGTTTAGATTGCACGACATTTAGCACAACAACAGGTACTATATAATCACTTTCATCGATCTTTGAAAATATTACCATCTTACTTTAGGACGTCATTCCACATTAAAAACTGAAACTTCTGGTAAGATATCTTGCTACAAAAATATATTTTAATTTTGATATTACTAGCATCAAAACGAACTGAACCATCGATACTGACAACTTCATCAAAACCGATAATTCCATCAATTTCTACTTATATCAGAACGAATGGATCAGAAGCGCCATGTATGAAGATTTTTTCTTTTGTTTTGAAAATAAGGAAATTTTTATTTAGCATCGGAATATTGTTTTCCAGTCGGATGGGAATCGATAGGTGATGAAATAATAAGTCAAGGGAATTACAGAAGTTTCACTGTCGATGATGATTCTAATGTATACGTTACAAATAGAGCTCGCCAAAGTTTAGAAAAATGGTCATCCAGCAATAAATTAATTCAACGATATTTTGACGGAAACTTTGGTGATACTCCTTTGTTCTATCATTCATTATCTCAATCCGTGTACTTTTGT